TCAGGAACTTTAGTTGAAATTGCGAACAAAATTATCTGAAAAATTAGAAGAAAAACATGTATAAATTTCCTAGGAAATTTGTGTTTTATCTATGGAAATTTGGCAACGCCTGGAGGCTCATACGGCGTTTTTCCTTAGCACGGAGCGTGGATGTCGGACTTATTACTCTCGATCTCGCCGTGTCACCGGGAAATTAAAGGAATCGTCGCCCTCTTGACGTAAAAGCGTATGTCAAAATTCTCGTGAGCCCTGTTTTACGTATGAAACCATGCTTTCTGGGGCTCATGCGAAAATCGAGGTTCGCCCTTACGCCAATGGAGCGACGAAATGAGCACGATTCGTCAACGGAGGAGCGCTCAAACGCGGGACGTGCCGAATATTAAACGAACGGCGGAGTTGTCAAAAATAGCCGGGAAGTTCGCACAAGAGACACTAACTTTCATGCTTGTAATTGTTGCAATGACTCGGAGAACACGAGGAAAATGGTTTAGTGCTTATGTTTGAAGAGGTCAAAACAGGCATCAAACAGGTCAAATTGAACGGGTTATTTGACGAAGTGCGTAACCGCCAAATTTTCAGAAATTGAGTTTTCGACAGAATTCTATTCTTTAGCACCTTAGTACCGAACACTGGAAAAAACACACATTGGATCTAGAGTCATGACTCTTGAAAACATTGACAAGAAAAAATACTCTTGACTCAATCAGATTTTTGCTTAAATCAAAAGGAAATCCGTTCAAATTAAGAGGCTTGGTTCTTGATTTAAGGTAAAATCCGATTGAATCAAGAGTATTTTTTCTTGTCGATGTTTTTAAGAATCCGGACTCTAGATCCAATGTGTTTTTTTGCCAGTGAACAATATCATCAAAAGTGGGTTTTTAACGTCTTTTTCAAACATTCGAATATCTACTTTAGTGGGAGAGGGGCTTAAATTCCGAGCCAACTCAGTGCATCAGGATGCTTCATCTTCAGCACCCGTATATGCCAGGATGTTTCGAGCTTATTACATGCCCATTCTCATTTGAAAACATGCAGAAGGTAAGGATTCAAAAAATAAAACAAGGAAGTGAGTTAGCACTGACTCGTATATCCCGATCAGTCGCATGATCATTTTCTTGCTTTAATTTTTAACGTTCGGTTCCAGTTGAAAATGGGTACGTAATTGGCTCGTAACGTCTTGATTTACTATAAAATAGCTTTATCTCACCCATTTTTGTAGTGTTTTTCCCTGTACTAGGTGATGCTATTGCCTCACCCTCATACGTATGAGCAGTTGACCATTTTTCAGTGAAAAATGACTCCTATCGGCTTCGTCAGTGTACCGGAAAGTTCTGGGAAAAAATCGTCGGTATATCGTTCCTGACTCTAAAAGAACCAAAATACCTGCTTTCCGTCTATGACCTTTTTTGAGAATTTTCCCTTGAATGTTAGTCTTAATTTCAGGACAATAATTTTGATTCCTACGTCACTAGACTCCTGTCGGACGAGGAAAGTAGTTGCAAAATCATAGCAACACTTGATGACGCTTAGGATTTTGTAGAATAGGACTTATGCACGCTGAAAGGACGTATGTGCGAACGAATGATATCAAAAGAGACAAAAAATCACTCAAATCTTATGCACATAGTACCTTTTGATTCAATTCATTTGCACGTAGTTCTTTTTAACATAATTACGTTTGGCTGCGGGTTCCTCATCCGTTGGATCTCATTAAGTTCTTTCATACCGTTTCCGGCCTTGCGTAGTGGTCATATTAAGTCAAAAACCACTTGAGTGGTTTATGTAATATCCCATCGAAAACACTCTCGCTACAGCGCGGCATGTTTAGTTCAGTTTCCCCCTCTTTTTTTCTCATTGGGGGTTTAATGCGATTCCGATGCACGGACTGTCAAGCAAAATGTCGTCTTTATTAGCTTACTTCTAATTTTTTTTACGTTGATCGTGTTTTAAAATCCACTCCTGAATTACATGTTCCCTCTTTTTTCTCGCTATCGGAGAACCATTCAAACACCTCGATTTATGGACTACAGCCCTATCGCCCAGCATGCTGTCTGCTCAAAAATCACGATGAGCGCATCGGGAAAGTCTACAATAACTCCTAACTTCACAACCTAAGTAAAGAATATGCGTTTTCTTAAACTTTCCGCTTCAAAAACGATACTACGACACTGGTGAATCTTTCGTAAGAAGAACCAACCGTTCCATCTAACTGTTGCGTACTAGGATGCCACGCGATATTCAACATGGTCGACGTCAACCTGCTAAAATACACGCGACGAGACGGGATTTTATAAACTGGCGTGTCAATGTTCACATTTTTCTTGCGTTAAGACCATGGTGCTTCCTCACGATTTGCGCGCGAAAGCGTCAGCCTTGTTAAATATTATTCAGCATTCTAGTGCGTAAGGGTTGGATACAACGACTCCTCTCACCAAATGTTCATCTGTGCCGTAGTATCGTTTTTAAAGCAGAAAACATAAAAAAATTGCATATTTTTTACGGAGATTGTGAAGTAAAGAGTGTATTTCAAACTCCTCCAATTCGCTCATCGTAATGATTGAGCCATTTTTCGTAAAGAACAATTCCTCTTTTTGCTCTAGCTAAAGGTTTCAACAGGCCCATTATTAATATTTTGCTAGTCGCACAGTGGATCGAATCAATTAGAGAGGTCGGACTTGAAATGGGCCTGTTGCATGCAAGAGATACAACCGTGCGAATAGACTTTTAAGAGGTTAAATGACACGAAAATTACGATGGTCACATTAAAAAAGTCTGAAATACACTCCTTACTGCGCAATTTGTGTTGTTAGGAACGCGCTTTTTCAAATTTCCCGCGTCTGGGGGCAGTTTTCTAACGGAAACAATTAACGGCAACTCGCGGCTATTTCCGGTCAACTAAAACTGACAACATAACCTAAAAATCGGAGCTCATGACATCGTGAAATGAAATGTAGAAGGATTGCGTTGGATATTTAAAAGTTGATCGATTTGGTTACCGCATAAAGCGTATATGGACCACTGTAGGAGATCACGTTGGGTTTGTAAACAAACTGAAGGAAAAAATAACAACAACGACTCGGCATCTTCCGGAAATCACCGAGCCCGCCGTTTGCTCGTTTCCGGTGATTAGAAAACTGCCCCCAGACGCGGGAAATTTGAAAAAGCGCGTTCCTAACAACGCAAATTGCGCAGTAAGGAGTGTATTTCAGACTTTTTTAATGTGACCATCGTAATTTTCGTGTCATTTAACCTCTGAAAAGTCTATTCGCGCGGCTGTATCTCTTGCATGCAACAGGCCCATTTCCGACTAAAACTGCTAATTTTGATGTCCATTTCGTCATATTTCAAATTTCAAGGGGTGCTATGTGAAGAAAATTTCACGAGGAAACCAATGGAACCACTTTCAGAACCTCAAAGTTTTGCATGAACGGAGTTATAAGCATTCAAAGTTTCCAAATTTTGTCCGACCTCTCCTATTGACTCGATCAACTGTGAGTCGCCCAGAATTTTCATCGTTTGGGATACTCAGGATCTAGCGGTATATTCAATTTTACGGAAAAGTCAAGAATAAGCGGCGTTGGCACGGGGGTTTTCCAAGGATTTTTCCCGGAAGCGGCAACTCCGACGAAGAGGGATCGGAGCGAAGCTTCTGCTGAAAGTAATCCAATTCGCTGAGCAATAAAAATAAGATAAACGAGGAGAAAAGTGTGTGTTAAAGCCCGGAGAGTTTATTTTTTGAAAGCAGCGGGGTGTCGGCGTGGGGCTGGTATCTTTTTTAATCTGCGATCAACCTCTTTTAGTGACGTAACTCGAGCACTTTCCGGTGGCTTTCCACCAGTGCCACTGTCTCGGTCTCGTCGACCTAAGGGCGTAACTCGATTCACGCGTGAGCCCTACTCGCCGTATAACTCCTTGCTTCCCAGGGCTCATGTGGAAATAGTTAGTTATACGTTTTTATGTTAGAAGAACGACGTCATGCCCTACTTTTCAATGAATGAATCGCGTTCCTCTGAGACATTTTTTTTCATTTATTTATTTTCCTTTTAACGAGTTTTCCGGTTTCGGATCGGGAAATTCATCCAGAAATTAAAAACTTCTCGGTATTTCACCCGTCAGGTGATGAGCAGCCTTGAAAACTGAATACCTGGTGTTGTTAAAGAATTTTTCCGGCCCCAGGGAAAGCCTGGAAAACGTCATGGAGTTCGCGAAAAATTTCTTGAACGTAGGATTTTTCGGGGTACCATCAAGTGTTTACTCTCGTGTTTGCGGAAATCAGGAATATCGTGGAAAATCGGAAAACTCTTAATTTTCTCTCCTCATAGTTTTCCTTCTACTAAAGAACGACTGCTAATCTGGGATTTGTTGAATTTTTGATTCCTAAATCCATGGAAAACCCCTTGGACTTTATTTCTGATATGCCCATGATCAAGGAGTTTTTTGCTCATTGGTTATGGAAACGAATGTCAGGGGATTGTGGCNGGGGGGGGGGGGGGGTGTAGTGTTAGGCATCCTGCACGGAACAACAAAATATCTACGTTCGGCAATTAGAAAATTTGAGTGTAGTAAAATTCTCTGAAGAATTGGAAGAAACGTATCAAATAGTTGACTTGAAAATTTGTGTTTTATCAAAGGGAACTTGGCAAAGTCTAAAAGCTCACACAGTGTTCTTTTTCTCATCTTTATTTTATTTTATTTATTTTTTTTTTTGGGGGGGGGGGGGGGNGTAACATCTCTCTTTGATATTCATACATGTTGGAACGAGGCCGACAGTAGCCCGACTCTGAATGAGAAGAATTCGCCTTTATACAATTAGTGTTCTTTCTTAACATGGCAGAATCATCATCTGGAGAGTTTGTCTTCCCTTCTCGCAGACGTTTTACCGCTCGAATGTATGTGTATTTTTAATGACTGTCAATCCTATTCTTACGCATTTGTGTGCCTGTTTCTCGGAAGCGCAAATCGATTCTCTAAAAATGTCTTTTTTCTTGTTTGTTCTCCAGGCAAGATGCCAAAGAACTGGGATTCACCGCCATCGTGGATATGCGCGGATCCACCTGGTCCACCGTGAAACCAATTTTAAAAGTACTCCAGCAGCATTTCCCGGGTCTAGTCCACTCTGCCTACATTATCAAACCGGATAATTTTTGGCAGAAACAACGAACCTCTCTAGCCAGTCATAAATACAAATTTGAAGTAAGTATACCTCTGACTAAATCGTCAGGAATCGTCCATTTTTTCTAAAAATGAGTATTTGTTTTAAGGGAAGGCAGGGTGTCGACAAGTCCGGAATTTCCGGACAGTCCGGAAATAGTACTGATTTTTTAAACTGCGGTCCGGAAGTAATGAAAAAGAAGGTCCGGAATTTTTTTCATTTTTGTCGCAATTTGAGCGAAAAACTCAAATTTTTGATGTTTTTCGGATTTCGTCAACTGGAGGTACTGAAAAAGTACTGAATTTGTCCGTTGAGGAGGTACTGAATTTCTTGGGAATCTACCGAAAAAGTACTGTAAAAGTACTGATTTTTAGCCAGCCTGTTTTAGTAGACACCCCGGAAGGTCATTAACAGGAAACCTTTCTTGTTTGTCCGTGAAAGGACGAAAAAGGAAGAATTTTGAAGAAAAATTTTACAGGGTGGAAAACATAAACTCCGTGTCCTTCTTCGGTAGCAAGGGTTGCCCCTGCGAGTTGATTTCTGAATATTGATAGACAAAGCGATGGATACAGAAGACCATGAAATACAACTCTCTATTGGTAACAATATTAATTGAAGAGCTAAAATGTTTTTCAACGTGTATTATATACGGTTGTTTTCAATTCGCCTTCAGCTGCGTTTGTAGCAATTGTTGTTACGAATATGTTGTGCGTGCTGATCTCAGTTCATTACATACTTGAATCACTGAAGGCGTTTAATGTGCGAAAGTAGAGCACCCTGTTGGAGAAAAACAGAAGTGAGATTGAATGAATCGCTCAATCCCTACTTCGTTCGTTTTCCGATAGATCGCGCTACTTGTGGACATAAAACGCCTTCAAAGAGTCGAGTATGCAGTGAACTAAAATCAGCACGCACAACATATTAGTAACAACAATTGCTGCAGACGCAGCTGAAGGCGAATTGCTTTTGCACATGAAACGCCTTCTGAGAGTCGAGTATATAATGGCTGAAATCAGCACGCACAACATATTGGTAACAGTAATAGTTGCAGTCGTAGCAGAAGGCTAATTGTTCGGTTAAAAAAAAATATTATGATCCGTAGTCTGCATACGATACAGTATGTATGTATTCGATCGACTTAAATCGAACAAGAAACAAAAACGTAAACCAATCGACGCTGATTCAATGGACAAATATATAAAAAATCGGATCAAAATCAGTAGAAAACTTTCATTCACTATGAAAATTTTAAATTGCGTTACCTCGAAATTAGGATTAGCCAAGATTTTGAATTTTCTCGATTTTAAGTCCACACGTACCATAACGCCAGACTCCGTTTCTGCAAACCGTTTTTGGGTACATTTTTTCCCCTTCAAGACCACCGTGTACTGCAGGAAAGCTTTTGCTGATAAAATTCATCTTCAACAGGGGCGAGGTGTGAATAATCGATTATCGATATTTCCCCATTTGAAGCTATGGTAAAATGTTGATTTTTAAGGTGGTAATTGTGAACACTCTGTTTATCGATATTTCCCCATTTGAAGCTATGGTAAAATGTTGATTATTAAGGTGTCCGTTGTGAACCTTCTGTTTATCGATCCTTCTCCCTAGATTTAAACGGCAGATCAATCGATATATCGCAAAGCATGCCACGCCACTGATCTTCAATAATGAATAGCTTTCTCCTCTCATAAGTTTTTTACTCAGCATATTAAATGGAAGTTGCCACGATTTTTAACGCATTAATTTCACGACATCTTTCTTTTTTATGGAGGAGAATTGTTCTCAAAAATGTTTTAAAGTTTCTAGAATTCCTCAAAAACCTCTCAGCGTCTTGTGGCGATTCTTCACCCTCCGCATGAAGAAATTTGTTCCCAGTCTATTTCTCAATCAGACGTAGTTTAAAAATCTATGAGATCAAGTCCTTCTATCCTCTTATTTTTGAACTCAGTTTCGTTATGATAACTCTCTACTCTGTTCTGCTGTTTCAGACCAATATGATTAGCGTAGAAGGATTACCAAAAATCGTTGAAACGTCCCAATTGACATCAGATCTAGACGGCACTCTACACTATGATCATGCTCAGTGGATCGACTTAAGACTGGTTTGTATTTGTTTGAGTACTTTTTTTTTTGAAACCTCTCGGCCAATTTAAACAAAAAAAATTTCAGTTTTTAAATTGAACTTTGACAGCAACTAGACTAAAAATTGCAGAAATTTTGAATAAAAATCGAGAATGCAGGTGCAAAACAGTCCATACTTGAAAACCTTGTATCGTACAAAAACAAACAATTCATACATTTTTTTGCAACTCTTCTTCGACAAAGGTTCTAACTATGAGAACAAAAAAAAACTCATTCATTTTCTCACAAATGGAATGTGTTATCGACAATTTTAAACTCCAAGTGCATGTTTCCTAAAACGAGGTTTTTACGGATGGGCTGTTTTTGCCGCTGCCCATTCAAGTAAATATTCCCAGATTTTATAAGATCAGCATGAATGACTAGGAGCATTATTTCGATTCGGTATTTAATTTTTCAACCAGGATAAGCTTCATTTCTGTACTTTTTAATGAAGAATTTGAAGTCAGTTGACTTGTAATTCTGGAGGATTCTGGAGTATTTTGTCACGAAAAAGGAGCCTTAATCAATAATTTTAACTTGAAGTTTTTCTCCTGAGCAAGCAATTTACCTACAGAAATGTCACAGTCCATGAAGTATTGTGTGTCGATTTCTAGAGTTGAAAATGGGTATCTCCACCATAGGGACTCTAAATCTCAGATTCTACTACAAATTCAGCCAATATTTGAAATTTCGACTAATTTTCTAACAAGTACTTCTTTTAGTGCAGTAATTTCTTTTGAATGGTTTGGTTTGATTTTATTTTTATTTTTCTCTACAGAATTTAGAAGATTTCTTATGGCAAGCAGCAGACTTACTGGATCAGATGGATGATCTCCAGGAAGATTTAAGCCGCAATGATTTTGGCGAAGATGCTGTCCTAACCAAGCATGCGTTAGAATTGCACGAGGATATGAAAAAGAAAATCTTAAAAGCCCCGCTCAAAGATATAAATTTATTAGGGCAGCGCCTTTTACAAAGGTATTGTTATCATTGCATGTTCAGTGTTAATAATTCTATTTCAGGACTTGGTAAAACTGAATCTTCGGAGTTTTATTTCAGATTTTTGTTGAAATCAAAGAATTTCATTGATAGTAATAATCAGGATTGAATCCTTGAGTCAAAAATATTATCGTCTCAGAACTTTCAGTGTTATTTCATGATCTATAATTTATTAATCGTGTACTGATTGATAAGCCAACAGTATCTATTGTGGTTCTTGATATTTAATGGAGAGATCTTCCTGATAAAGATACTTGACTATTGTCATCTACAGGAAAGGTACCTTACTTTTAGTTCTCGAATACTCAAAACTGAGTCACTGATACTAGAGCATACAACTGCAGAAATTTACAACAAAAAATGTTCAAAAGTATCAAACTGAACCCCACCTCTGCTGGTTTGAGGTTTTTAGTGTATATGCACAAGTATTGAAGTTGCAAGAATAAGGTAGTCAAAATTCTAGCCTAAAATTTTCAGAATTATATGGAGTTTTATGCTCTCTTTCGCCACAAACATGCAGTAAATCGCTTGCAGCTGATTCTGAAGTATACCAGTGAGTGGTAAGAGTCTAAATTTCAAAATCCGATTTTTCGACCAAACTTAACAATAATTGCTCTACTAAAAATTTTGCCTCCATGTCTATGGACTGAATTCCTTTTTCCGTGGATAGTCAAATGTGATAGGATCTAATCTATCAACCACACTACCTAATTTCTGCTGCGTCGTATAATGTTTCATTTAAAGTGACCTGTTGACCTCAGAATCTCTTAACCAATAAAGCATTAAACAAGATACACTCTAAACAGACAGAAATAGAGCTCCTCAATCGCTTTCTGGAATTGCAATCATGAATTCATCATATTGACGGTGTAAGTCGGCAGTCACATATCTTGTTTGCGGTGTCTGAAAATCTCTGCCTCTATGTTATTTTTTTTTAAAGGAGAACAAATTGACATCATTCCGTTAAGTTTATGCAGAATTTTCTTCGCACAGAAAAGAAAATTGACGGCAGTTTTAAAGAATTGACGTCGAGTAGTTTTCCGTTTAAAAAATGAAGTATGACAGGAAGTATGCAACGGCGCAAACCGAGTTATGTGATTGCCGACTTACACTGTCGATATGTATTACATTTTATTTACATATGTTTAAAATTCCACCATCAAAATACAATCCTGATAAATGTGCAATCAGTCTATTTTGAATACTTCTCTGCCAGCAATGCTATAATGTTTCCAATGTAGTTGCTAAAAAAATGTTACTTTTTCTGCAGTCACTCAATTATTTTTTTTCAATTTATTTTTTCAGGTTGTCAGCTGACAATAATAGTGGTTATGACTCAGGTTACTCAGGTAGAGATAGTGAAGCAAGCTCAGGGGTGACAAACCCAGATCTCCAAGCATCAGTGCCTCAAATTCTTCAAAACTTAGAATCAGTTAGGAACTCACAGAATCAATTGCTCCAGTTATGGCAGCATAAAAAATTAAAGTTAGAGCAATGTTATAGACTTAGGTTGTTTGAACAAGATTGCGAGCAGGTAAGAATTTTTTCACTTTCCATATTTTGCTACGTATAAGTAATACTTTCCATCAAAGATTTGCAGTCAAAAATATGAGGAAATTTCCACGAACACTGTTTGTAACTGCTGAGCCCTTATTAGAACGCTTTAAATACAGAATGATTCAGCTGTTTGTCTCTTTTTCACTAGATAAATGCATGCTTCCCTACCACTTAAAGTGGTTTTTTTCTATCAGTCATATGAAACTTATGACAGCATGGACTAAGCCATGTGAGGTGCTCATCAAGTGGTGGTCCTAAGAAGGGCCGTCGAAAAAGGGCGAACCGGCCGGCTGCAAGATGTCCGCTGGGTGCTGTGCGACGTTACTCCCGTGTGACTGATAGGCGCGGAGTGAGTTGAGTGCTGAGAGATGAGCTCGTGGCTTTATGTAGCTGCGACTGTGTTGAGCTAAAACCAATGAGCTTTGCTAGTTGACAGAGTGGTGGCTAGCCGCCGCAACAGCTTTAGGTGTAAATGATTCCAAAAGTCAAACTTGGAAAGTAAATTTATTATCATGCATTTATTTAAGAGGTCACATATCATAGCCAAAGTGCAAAACCAGGTGTTCCAATTGTGATGTTTCAAATGCCTGCTACCATTTCAATTTTCGAGAATTACAAGCCAAATGTATAGCTTGAAATTATATAAAATATTCTCGTAATAGAGAAGAAAAATCAAGGAGGTTTTCAAGAAATTAGTTGGTCCAGTTTTCCAAAGAACAAATAAAGTATGACAGAAAGGCAACAATTTCGCAAACGGAGATGCACAGTTTCGCAGATTGGCCATTGATATTCTTCTCGTTCATAGTTGAAAAACATACTTTTGAAATAATCAAATGAATTGAAAAAGTTTAAAAAGTGGCCTTTATTTCTGATTTTTGCATGTGGTATTTATTATTGTTTCCCCTGCATGATAGTTTCCTTAATGAATCCCAGAGCAAAAAGCCGCGCAATTTTGAATTAAAGAGCTGATTGATGGAAGTATATAAATTCCAATTTTAGGAGGATACATGGATAAATAAATAAATTAGTTTTTTTGAAGTATCTAGATTCTCCCTTGGTGATCAGATATTCCTTTGTATCATAAAATTTTTTGAACTAGCCAACGTACACCGTTGATGTATCATTCTAATTTGTCGCTCTCATGTTTCAGATGTTCGAATGGATTTGCCGCAATCGTGATTTATTTTTAAATAATTATGTTGTGATTGGGAAGTCGTATCAACTTGCCAAGGAACTTCAAGAAGAGCATAATCATTTCACCATTAAATCAATGGTAAGTTCCCTATAAGTATCTCACTTCAAATTTAATAAAAATGAATCACCAAAACATGCACAGCTCACTCTGTTGTCAGATCTACATTGCCCTGTCTAGAAAGTGTGCAACTATATTAATTTTCTGTGAGGAGCAACCAAAACCACCAGCTGTTCCAAAATTCACAAGAGAACATCAATACGGAGACTTTTCTGTTCTCACAATATTAAAATTATAATGATCGCACAATTTTTAGACAGGGCAATGGAGATTGCCAGTGTTGGTTCCAGGCGCCTCGATTAAACTATTTGCGTAAAAAGTTTTGAATTGTCGCTTGTGTCGGAGAAGCATTCATTTCCGAATATCCGCCATAAAATCTTTCGATTTTAGGAGGACATGCGACAACGCTACTCTCTGTCTTTTTTCGCTGATACACACCACGAACAGCGCATACGCGTACTAGCGGGGATTGAGAGAGTTCGGACAGAGTGTTTTGGAAGTTTGTGGCCGAAGGGAGCTGTGGCTTCTCCTGCGTCTTCGCCCCGATTTTTCTCCCTCTCAAGGGTGATCTGTCCATTTCATCAAAAGGAAAATCTGTGTTTTTCCTCTATCTAATCACCTCTTGCTGCCACTACCTCTTCCCGAAAAGTATTTTTCTCTGTCCCTATCAGAAATACCTCAGTCTACGCTACGCATTGCGGTATCGCGACAAAACTGAGTGCATTTCTGATTCGTAAGGACCATAAAGGCGGGATTTGCTCCCCACACTTGAAGTGACCCTGCAATCCTTTTATTTGTAAATGAATATTGTCCTACAGTTTTAGGTCAAAAAAGGTTTTCCTCTAATAATGTGCAAAGTCTAATTGGTCATTTTCTCTCATTTTCCAGGATGTACATGTACACATTAGCCATATCTTAGCTGCTGCGGCGGGTATGATCGAGAGTGGTCACTACGCTGTTCAGCATATTCGTGCCGTATCAACACGTTTGGATCGAGCGTGGAAGGAATTCGCTGCTAGTCTAGATGAAAGAACAGCCGTCTTAGCGCTGTCTGTTCTTTTTCATCATAAAGCTGAACAAGTCAGTGCTCCTCTTATTCATGAATCATAATTTTTTTTTGTCAGACTTCTGCAGTATTACTCTCCTAACCTTGGAGTAGATTAAACCCTCTCTTTAGATTACTTTTACTCTGGAAACTTTGGAGGTTTTTCAAAAGAAAATAACTAATACTGAATTTTTAGGTGTGAAGCATCAATAATCATGAACATAATCAATTTTAGGCTAAATGTTGAACCTGATATTGTTTTTTCACGTTTGAAGCTTAGCTTATTTTGTGGCGAAGCAGACAATCAGGCATAATAAGTAATCATGAGGAAAGCGACCACAGTCCTGGAAAATGTCATCCTTGAGCAAAATTTTGAACGTAGCACATATTTTAAAATCGTTATAGAACAATTCGATATCTAAGATTTAGTCTTTTACAGCCTGATAATGGATGATAGCACAAAGAGAAAGACAGGATTACTCTTTATAGTAGCCCACCAACCACCACAATCCACTAGATGATAATTTTTTTATTTCTTTTAATTTATTTAATAAAACTTAGAGGACTGCAGTATTTACAAAGTATCAACCCTAATAGATGTTAATTACCAACCTGAGAGAGGTGGTTTTTAAAAGAAAACTATCAGCATTTTGGGAGCTTGTCAAACAATCATGGGATTCTAGACTCAAACGGAGGCGGTTTCAGTTTCCATTACCAGTAGCAGAAAAATGAGAACATCAACCAAATTTTTGAATTTATAGAGGAAGATAGGAGTAATAACGGTTCAAAATCAAATAGTTGAAAAGTATTTTGCACATTTGAAGTGTACCTTATTTTGCGGCAGACCCAGTGATCAGGCATCAATCAGGAAGCATTGTAAGCCATAATGGCATTGCACTTTCACACTTTTAGGAATGCACTTTTTCTCACTTTAAGGGGCTTAACTTTGAATCTGTCCTGTGATTTCAGGAATATGTGGCAAAATTAGTTTCAGTGAAGTTCTGAAGTGACATTGTTGTAACGTCATTAAACTGTTTGGATTCTTTGACATGCTCCCAACGAAAGTTTGAATTTTCTATAGTTCTCTAGAGTTTTAGCGAAGGTCTGCTATTGTAAGCTTATTAGAGATCCTTGTAAACTAAATGTAGTTCATTACCAACTTGCAAGATAATTATTGAAGCAGATGAAGTCTACTGGCTCAACTTTCATTTTATATTCCATACGTAAATTATCCATCATGCTTCATTTAAAATTATTTTTTTTGCCTGGTGAATCCGACCGTATGTTGATTTTAAGAGCGTTAATTTCTATAATTTATTATTTATTCTCTTTTCTCCATAGTATGTTGAAAATGTTTCGGCTTGGGAACAGGCTTGTGAAAATATGAATATTCCGAGCGATATCATATCTCTAGAAACCTCTATACATCAACACCAAGCCCTTTATGAGTCCATGTGCCAAGCATACACAGAGGTTAGTATTCTTCTATTTTATTCTAAATATTTTTAGATTTTTTGTAACCATCATATTTTTATAAATTCAAGTTAGGCAAAACGGATTAAATATCTAGTGCGTTCGATAGCATATTGTGGTAAATAGTGTTACATAACATTCATTGCTTTCTACAGCAGCTACCAAGCTTCTTGTTATATTGTGGCTGTTCAACGGAATATTCTTATTCGCAATGTAAATGGCAATGTCACCTTAAATTCTAATCAATAAATTTGCAGGCATTTGTGGCTTCAAATATAATTTCAAACAGACTGTCAATTTTTAATGTGAATTGGAAATTCACTCTATAACTGTCCAAGACTTGTGAAGTTTAAAAATACTTATGCCCAGAACTTCACTGATCTTATATCTTTAGTTTGTTGCAATGGAAGCGTACCTCTATTTTCACTGCTTTGAAATGTTGAGGAAAAAATTCGTTTACAAACTCATTCTTTGAAATGTGATTTGCAATTTTTAAAGCTATGCACTTTGCTCTCATAATCTTTTGAAATTTCAGAAGTTTTTGTTTTTTAAATAGTTACATTATTATTCAATTTACATCATCATTACTCTCTAATCATTTCATAATCATGTAATCATTCAAAAATTATAACGAGGATTTGTCCAGTTAACACTAAGCAATTAAAATCTCCCTTTTTCTGCCGCCAAAAGGCAAAGGGTGAAATTTGTACGACAATGACCTTTGTGTTCTATGAATCAAGTTTAATTAAATAGCTAACCATTTTATAGGTTTACAACTCTTACCAAAGTTTACTCAACGGATTAGATTTACTAGTTCAAGCGTGTCTGGGCTTTCCTCCGCCCCCCAGCAAACCACCATACATTCATTTCGGCGGAGGTGGACACCATCCTTTCAGCAATAAAAGCGTATGTCCTTGTTTTGAATTCGGTGACTACATGGTACCCTTGTCACTAACGACTTTGCTTTCAATGGTTCATGGGACTAATTTATCGTCTTTCACTCAGCATCTTTCCTTTGACTCATTTTGTCTCTTGCAGCCTTGTTGTTCTCCCCAAGAAATAACCTTTTTGATTCTGAAAATCTCAAGATTAAAACAGAGGGATAGGATTAAAATTAATATGTACACGATATTAATTGTTCTTGGTTGAATAGTTCCTACAAATTACACAAAATATTAAGTTTGTTGGATTTGAAGATTTGTGTTTTAAGTGTATTTCCCTTTTCCTGAGAGATTTTGTATCTATTCTAAACATTATATGTTTATTGTAGTGTAGGCAAATTTTCATCCGTAACGGCAATGAAATTCAGTATTCGAGGCTTATCAAAAACTCTCACTGTTCACCAAGTGCATTGAGTATCTTATGATGTAGATGAATAATCATTCGAATTGAGTGTAACTCTTCTCTTTATTTTGACAGTGAAACTACCAAACCACGCATCTCGTTTGCGGTGTTTACAAATCTCCGCTCTCATTTTATTTTTTCAAAGAAGAACAGATCAATATCATTTCTTGAAATTTTAACCGAGTCTTCTTCGCACAGAGGAGATTTCAAGAATTGACATTGAGCAGGTTTTCATTTAGAAAATGAAGTATGACAGGAAGTCTACAACGTCGCAAACTGAGACACGAGGTCGGGTAGTTTGACCGTCGATTTGTTATTTGTAACAGAATTTGGTGTAAATCTGTGTATGTGAGAAAATTCTTTGGTTATTGGCCTCATCGCTCTTTGAGTGCCTTGTATCTAATGAAATCACTAATCACAGGCAAACAACATGTTCCCAACTTTTATGGAAGTGCTGAGTATCACACATAAACGCACAAATCCTCTTCTGCCTTTTTACTTTTTCTTAATTTCACCACAGAAAATTATCTCTGGTTCCGCCTGTGGGCATTCTGTACTCTAAAGACTTTGATCTGCTTCTTCTCTTGGGGTGTAGTTTAAGTCTCTATTGTTTCTCATCAAAGTGTCCGCTGGGTTCGTCGGTGCGGTTCTTCTAAAACACAGCAGGACTCTTTTGAGTTTCCATCCTTATTTCTTCTGGAAATTAATGCATCTTGATATCGTCAATCATCTCAGACCACAATGCTTATGCAAAATAATGCAAGTGTTTCTCAAACCTCAGCTTTGCGTAAACTGTTTACCCTCCAACCAAACCACATCGAATATTTTCGTCCATCATTCTTCTGTCCCTCCTTCCTAAATGTTGATGTTGGATGTTAATTGTTAACTGTGAGAATGCTCCACCAGAATGAAATCTAGCAACTAATGAAGTTTTGCTCAGTTCCTCCATCAATGTCATGCATCAAAAACCAAAATAATTTTTCTTTCTCTTACCGGGGTAGAATGCTTCATTTTCACATTTTTTTTACCTAATTAAAATACAAAATCATTTTTTAAAACTACAAATGGGCTACGTAGATGAGAAAAGATGAGAAGAGAAGGTCAGGTCTTTTTTAACTCCTGTCTCAAAAATTTTTAAAGCATTGATCCCCTAAAATTCAATATTCTTACAAAATTCAATATTCTTAGCAAATGTAATTTCACTTGCAATTAATAATTTGATATTTAGTTCACCTGCATTTCAATCCCGTAACTTTTAGCAGTGGATGTATCAGTGGTGTTTGTGCAATCTCCTCAAAAATCAATTTCTTCCTTCCTCCTCTTGCAACCATCCTCGGATGTACTTGGATGGAATGACCAATTTTTGTCGTTTCAGTTGATGAAATTTTGAAGAAAAAATCTCGTTGGAAGAGAAATGCTTCTCTCTATATCTGTTGCTTATTGTTGCTCCCTATCCTTCATTCTTTCCTTTTTTTCTCCTTATGATTCCACCGAATCACGCAATACTTTCTGATTAATTGATCTTCTCTTTTTTTTAACTGGTTAGTATATTCAATGGGCCTCTAGACAAGCATGAATTCAAGCACTATGCAGCATGTTTTCACTTCATTATTTCTCCAGGAGAACAAATCACACATTTTGAAGTTCAGAAATCAACTCCACAACAAGATAATTGTTTAGAATCAACATTGGTTAGATAAAGAATTTCCAATGGCATCATTTCTACACCTTCCAGGCAAAGTATCACAAGCGCTATGCGAGGTTTAAAAATTTCCGCCGCCATTTTATTTCTTTACTGAGAAATTGTTGGTTGAATTTGTTTGGAAATTTCTCTAAATTTTATCGGCAGCACAAAGAAAATTCAGTGAAATTTTTGGACAGCTTCGTTGAACAATTTCTCTGTAAAAAAATAAAATGGCGGCGGAAATTTTTAAACGTCGCATGGCGCTTGTGATACTTTGCCTGGAGGGTAACAATTTGTGTAATCCAACTTCCTTTAATTCGTTTTAAGAATACGTGTTAATATCTCGATCAGAAGTTGATTCTCAAACTTCTAATTTTGTGAATTGTTTTCTGTGTGAGTTTGAAGAGAACTATGCGCAGTCTCTTTCCCGTTCAGACCTCGGCTAGGGGCCCATCAAGTATTACTTTTATGTATGGGTCTTCGTTAGTTCCCGCAAGGTACTCTCTTGTTTCTCAATAGCTCCTTTATTTATTTTCGACTCTAAATAATGTAGAATTATGAAGGTAGGAAAAAGGTGAAAGGCGTCTCATTTTCTTATAACCAACAAAGCAGGCACCCTTGCTTCCTCTGGACTCACTTAGAATCAATCCTTCGAAATCAATGTAATCATTTTAGAGAAGTCATCATTCATCAGTTCAAGTCTCCAGTTGTATCTTAATCAACTTTTGCAGTAATTTGGGACACAAAGAAATTGTCTTTCCTTTACTCGCATAAAACTTGTGGTACTTGTTACCAAATTCGCACTTAATTTTTTTATGGCTTTTCTCTTAACCCATCTGAATTGGATCAAGTTAATGGAAAGGAACGAACCCATCTTTATTCCGAGGAAAAAAGTCTACAATTCAGAGCTCGCATAGTTAAGCTCTCTTCAGTTTTAGAATCTAAATTTTGATTGAATTATGAGTTTTTACAAAGCATCCTCTTCTATGATAAATTTTCCATTAATTCATTGAAGCTGTTAAATCCATTTTTAGAAGAATATGGGTCGGTTCCTCTCTACTTAACTCAGTCTGAATGATCATTTAAATGTGTAATAATTTTTTTGGTGAATGATAAATAACTGAGCATTAAAATCTTAGTAATTTGAAAAAAAGGAGAAGAAAACAAATTAACCACGCCGTAAATCTTTTTTGAGTGAGATAATGTCTGCAACCCATTTTTAAAAAAATGTTGCAAAATGTTTTAATATTTGTGTTCTCTTTGCTTTTCGTTTATGAAAATCCAACAGAAATAATCTTGAAAGTATGAAAAACATTGACATTTAATGGACCTTTAAATGGATCTCCTGTTCAATGGAGGCTCAATGTAGTAAGTCCTTTCTCTTTTTGCTCCCTCAGATCAGGAAGGGACTTGAAAGAAAAAAAGATTTTTTGATGGATTTTGATGCGCTTAAAGTATAAAAATTTGACGCTAGTAATTTTTAATGTTCAGTTAATTATCTATGTCTAAAATACTGCTTAAATCTTTGGTTATGGTGATGTGGTGATGGTGTTGTTAATATTGTATGTACAGGTGCATAGTACAAGTAAAAAATTGCTCTACCAGCTTGATCATTTAGTTCAGATATGTAACCAAACATCCATGGACCAAGTTAACCGCAAGCATGTATGTATATTTCTTGCATGTTTATCTTAATATCTTAACTTTTTAATAATTTCAGGAGAGTTTTATATAAATTACAGAGGTCTCGAAGATCAAAGAAGTGCCTGAAGTTACCTTTGCACGAAGAAAAAAGTTCAAACGCTAACTTAAACATGTTGAACATTTTACAGATTTTTCAAGAAGGCATTGTTCAAGATTAAAAAAGATGTATTTTCCAAAGCATTTTCTTTTAAAATGTATATCAATAGCTAAAGTCGCAAAATGCATTTATCAAATTGTGACGTTGTCAAGTGTCGGCTCCTATTTTATTTTATTAAAGGAAAAATAATCAGTAGTTTTCATTGAAATTTTCTATGAATTTCTTCACTCATTCTGAAAAACCCACAAAAATTGCAAGGAAAAATTCTGATTAGTTTTCCTTCAAGAAAATATAATAGGAGATTTTTGAACGTTGCAAGTGACATACACTTTTAACCACCAATATCTCTTTTTTTGCTTGAAAGCAACATCTAATGAAAGTCCAAGATACTTTATTTCATTTTCAATCCCAAAATCTGAAGTAGTCGGGAAAAAATATATAAACAAATGCAAATGATGATTTCACTTTTCAGCAAAAGTCGACTCCGATCCCAATACTCTGGTGTCAAACTCTTTTACTGTTTAAAAAAGCTCATAGTTTTTTTCAACTAATTTAAAATATGCACTCGTGAAGGAAGGTAAGAAAAGCACTGAAAAAACTTAGGGATCCGATGCCAGCTAAATTCTGCGTTCATTTTATATGATATCATTTTCAACCTCCCGAGTACAATGAGATTTTAAATTCAAATTTTCTATTTACCAATTTTAAATGTAAAAGGGCTGGAAAAATAATTTTTTGGCATTCTTCCACTTGTATTTGTTTGGACACTTGGCCCATTTACGGCTTTGGACATCAATCTTTTTGTTCTAAAAAAGTAGTGGACGTGGCGGAAAGAGGACCTTTTCTCAGCCACTACCATTTTCACTCACTATTGCAAGTAAAAAGACCAAAAAATTCACGTTCCAGCGCAGCTTTTATCAAAATCAGCTGGTAGTAAGTTTGATTTGAAAATTTCATTGTACGTGGAAGGTCATGAAGAGCATCATATAAAAGAATAACCAAATTTAGCCGACAACGGAACCCTTGAGTTTTTCATGCACAGTCCTAAAACAGGAAATTCAGACTAAGTTTTTAAAGTCTTTCTCCTGTGACATCATTCCATTTTATTAGACCTGAAGAAAGAAAAGATTAAACAGATGTCACATCAATCAGAATGCATCAATCATAAATTGGCCCACTTGAATTAACATCTAAATTTATTTTGAATGATGCTTTGTTTCGGTCTCGTCTTTTTCCCCCTAGTTCTTCTCCGCAATATTTTATTATAACTAGCTCTGTAAAGTCGTAACAAGAGAGTATAATACTAATATTCTTTTACTCTCTACTAAACAGGTGGACAGTGGGCACTCGGACTCCTCCTCAAGCATAGGGAGCCGACACGCAAATCCGGCAGCAGATTACTCGGAAGGGGCTAAGCATGTGTTGAGTGTCATTCACGAAATTCTTGATCATCATCGCCGCTTGGAACACAAGTGGCATTCAAAGAAAATCAAACTACATCAAAGACTTGCCCTTCGACTGTTTCAAGAAGATGTGAAACAGGTAAGTCTTGTCTAGCTTTTACAATTGATCTCCAATGCATCTAAGAATAAAACATTTTCAAGACTCATTCAAAAACTTTTTCTGAAAAAGTTTGTGAAAGTGGGACAAGAGACAATGAAAAGCTTCACAAGACATGCATACCTATGAAAACAAAACTACTAGGACAGACCTTGCTAACCATTCCAACAAACTTCACAAATTTTGACATGTTATCATGGTTACGTTTCGAGTTGCAAGACAACAATACAACATTACCAATATTGTGTTTGATATTATCAAACAGCATTTGTAGGCGAAAAGGTATGGGATAAGTTTTAACTGCACGTTTCGGTACAGGTGAATTTCTAAGAAAAACTGTAGGTTTCTATTCATGCCATATTTAAACTACCATAACTTGGCCCAAGGCAAGTAAAACGTATATGCTCTTCCCAACTCTTTTGGCCAGAACTCGGCTTTTGGCTTCCGCTGCTAGAGCTGTGGCGTGAAGTTTGAATTTTAACAATTTTGCAGTCTTTGCCGAAAACAAATATAACCATCGCTGTTGATAAAAATGAACAAATTCAATGCAAGCGAATTCTTTAAAAATAAACATTCATTTGCTATTAGTATTGCGGTTGTTTTTTCATTTATATCAACAGCCGACGGCCATGTTTGTTTTCGGCAAAGACTGCAGAGTTGTTAAAATTCGAATTTTCCACCACTGTTCTACCGGCAGGAGCTGAAAGTCAAATTCTGGCCGAATGAGTCGGGAAGAGCATACATCCGTTTCACTTACCTTGAACTTGGCCAAGTTTGATCTTGGAACAGAAATTTTGGGTTATCTTTGTTTCCTCAAGGAGGACAATTTGTGTGAAGAAGTTTGAATACATTTCATAACCAACATAAATTCCATTATTTCCAATATAGGTTAATAGAAAATCGACTTCCACATTCCTCTCAAGTGATCTGATTTCGTCCTTAATCACCAATAAATTCATTTAAGTAAAAACAGTTTCTCAATATTTCAGAGTAAGGGATTCAGAATTGAAGATCTGATATTGCATTTCATACGGTCATGATTCGTTTGTCCAAAACTTACAATATTGTTTGATGTTTTGCTCTAGGTCTTAGACTGGTTAGCAAATCACGGTGAAGTGTTCCTTAGGAAAAATACTGGTGTCGGCCGATCTCTTGCCAAAGCTCGCATGTACCAGAAGAGTCACCAACATTTTGAAAACGTTGTTCAGGTAAGAACTTTTTCCATCCCCTCTTGCATGTCTTGTTGATATTTTAGTGTGTAAAAACGAGTACAGCAATTTCGGGAAAGACATCATCAACCCCCACTTATTGGAGTCCATAATGTGATGTATAGCCTCAGAATGACAGCAACATATTTTTTCCTCTTAAAAGGACCAGTTTTCTGTTTTTAAAATTTCTCAACACTATTTTTGATGCCACAATTACTAAAAAATTATGTAGGATATTCTAATAAGTAGTGTAAATCATAGTTTTTTTTTGTCAAGGGATTAACTATCTGCCACCATTTTCGCTAATTTTGAAGTAAACCACAAACATGTAGAATACATTTGTATAGTCTAAGAAATTCTGCAAGCAATGGTCCTAAATTGGCAGCAGACGGAGTCAAAATTGAGCAATTATAATACATGTTTCCCTACTCGTTCACATAAAAAATTTATGTAATACACATTGAAAACTGTCATTATCAACTCGTAAGTGAATATTTAGAGTCTGTAGTTTACATTTGAATTGATTTTATTGAATTTTACGCTGACAAAGCAATCGGTCAAATTGGTGTCAAATTGGCCATCTAGAACAACATTATCTGTAAGCAACAAATCAGAGTTTGGCCATTCAGTCTAGCAAAATTCTGAGTGCGGCAAGCGTTTTTCAACAACTTGCAGTTTAGCAATTCACAAGTGAAACATTTAATTCAATTCAATGTTGGTTCGTGAAATCTAACAAATGTCGTATTATCTGTGCAAAAAATCAGGAAATTCCATTTAAAATATTAGGAAAAGTCAGGAAAATATCTGGAAAATCCAAAATCAAATTTTGCAAACATTAGCCACCCTGGAAAACAATCTTAGAGGAAAGTAAAAAATTAAAACATTTTGGAGTCAGGGAAAGTAATTGAACAATGAAGAAATTATGGAAACTGTGTCAAAAACCAGGGAAATAAGTCAGGAAGCAGACAGCAAAAATCAGGGAATTCGAAAATTTTAAAGTCCGAGAAAAGAAAAAAATATCAGGAAAATTTGACTGTGTGGCAGAAAGAAACCAAGCCACATCATCTACTGCCAAAAACCGGGCAAATTAATTTTTATGAGAGAACGTTTGTACGGATTCCTTTGAAAATGATGAGGAATTTGCTTCGTACAATGCAGAAACTTCACTGAAATTTGCATAATCGTTTTCATATAAAAAATTAAATTGCCCTTTTGAATTTAACTATAGCTGATATGGCTTGGTTCCTTTCTGCTTAACGCCGCACAATGAATCTAATCAATCAGAGAAGTCGGACGCAAAATTTACGACTGAAACTGCAAATTTGTATTTTTATTTTGTCTTATTTTAAACTGTAAGGGGTGCCTCTTGAAGGACATTTCACGAGAAAACCAATGAAACAACTCTTGAAACCTCAAAGTTTTGTATAAACGGACTTCAAAGCGTTTGAAGTCTCCAAATTTTGTCCGACCTCTCCTATCGACCAGATGCCCTGTGCGCCATCCAATTGAAAACCGAAGAAATCATGGAAATCCTGTAAACTTTTCTCGTTGAGCATGTCAACATCGCACAGCTTTCGCGTGGCTCCTAGCGGGAGTATCCACTCATCCCGGCATCCCAAAGCGACGCTGCCAAACCGCGGCGCCTCTCCCACAATTTCCCTTCAGATCGCATAGGGAACCCTTTATTTTTTTGCCCGAAGTGGCAATGCCGCGGTCCGTGTTTTGAACCCGTGGCGGGCGCCTCGCGGAGCGGGTGAGCGGGTGTCAGTCTGCATCCGACGGTGATCCAGAGCGCGCGCTTCGCCGGTCCCGCGTGTTCAAGTACTTCGCGAGTGCACGCTTTTCGTGCCGCGGACAAGCGCCAGTAACTCGCGCGAGTGTTTTTATTCGCCGCGGTCTTCGCGAGCTGCTCCTCCGAGGTGTTTCGACGTCACGATTTGTGGTGGATTTGTGCACGGTTGGGATTTTTTTTAGTTGATCAAATACTCGTTACAGGAAGAGGTGTACACTCCAGGGTGGCTGAAATCAGGGAAAGTTGGGGAAGGTTGGCGGAAATATGAAAATTATCTAGAACTCAGGGAAAATGATGGAATCAAACTTGGATTGCATTTTGCAAAAAGGAACCAGAAGAATTGCAATGATGCTAAGATTGTCCATTTTCATCCTTTACAATGAAATTACTGAACACATGAAAAAATTTGAAATTTACAGGGTAATTTTTGTCTTAAATTTACAGTTTTTAGCGAGTAACATAGAGACTGTTAATGGATAATCAGGTTTTTATTCCAAGACAAAAGAAGTTGCTCAATCTTAGCAACATTGTAATGCTCCTGGTTCCTTTTTGCGAAATGCAGTCCGCATTTAATTTCATAAACACTTTTTTCCCCATGTTACCTCAAATTGAAAGAGCGCAAAATACAAATTCTGGCCATTTCCTCCTCTCCTAAACAAATTCTGTCAGATTCTTTGATAGTGGATTTGTGACTTAAATTTTTGAGGTGCACGGTATGTGAAAATTTTCGACGCTGCTCACATCCTGAAAATCTGGGCACTTGGAGCCTAAATTCTTAGTACCGGCTGCCATGAGTTTTGGCAGTTTTCCGAATTTGCGGCCCCAGGTGCCGAGTTTTTTCGAAAGTGGATTGTCGGAATAGTTTCCACCGTGTAGAGAAACTTGGAAGACACCAAATTCTTCAAAAATGATCGCTGTAGGGAATTAAGTAACTAGTAAATTTCATGTCTTCATCTCAAACTGCGGTCGTCCTGACATAGGGACCCTATCAACGTGTAATTCACGAACTTTTTGCCAACAAGGTGATTTTTGCGGGATAATTCCTCTCAAATTTTATTCTGGGTGGAAAATGTTGCCCCCCCCCTCCCCTCCTCGTTCTTCTTAGCTTATAGAATAAACTATTGTTTGTCCATTCCTGGGCATATTTACTAACTTCTCAGAGTTATTATTTTTCAATGAATGTTGAGATAAGAAGAGTGAAACAAAATGAAAATAAAACATTTAAAATTATTGACCTAAAATGTGTGACGAAATACGAAGGAGGAGATGGGGGGAAAACCAAAGTCCTCTGCCCTGCTACAAAGTCAAAGTACCCTGCCGCCAACTCCTTTCCTTGTTTTGATGGGTGAAATGATTTTAGAAATTTTCCCTTGTAGTGTGCAGTGTTGTTATTAAAGTGAAACGACGCTAAAAAGATTGATTACTCTTTTTAAACTTCGTGATTCTCGGGGAAGTGCTTTTTTATCCGTAGTTCAGTGCTATACTTTCGTGTCAATTTTGTACTTGCACTTTACTCAGCAACGCTAATAAGTGATCCTGATCCAAGTTGTCAAAATAATCGCAAACTTGTAATTTTGTTACTGTTGAGGTGTTAAAATATAATTACTGTTTCTCACTCCTCATTTAACGGATATATTTCTGTGCTAGTTGATTTAAAATTGAAATCCGTCATAATTTTTACGCGAATTTAATTAAATTTATTCGTATAAAATCGATAGCTCCGATCTTTGAGCGAGAATTCGAAGTCTATAAAGTGTGGTGAGAAATTCTGTGCCAATTATTGCATTTTTTGGATAACCTACCGTCCGGCCATTAGCCTAAATTCATCGGAATTTTGGATATTCTTTTATTGTATCGACACCGTGAATGTTGCTTTCTGGAATTACGGTTGCTTCGAGTATCCCCTCTCTATTCTCCAATTAGGTAAGAATTTGGTTTAACTCTCCTTTGATTCGAAAGTTCACCCGAATATTTTTACTCAATACTGGCAATTAATCATCGAAGAATGTGGGTTTTGTCGGAGGTCGTTGTTACGTCTTGAAATTTTCTCTGTCCTCTGTTACATAGCCGTTTTTTTCTCACATCTATTCAATTTTTTTATGAAGAAGGCGTTAGATCTTGTTAGGATTCTTTCCTGTCGCGCGAATTCAGGATTTCATATTAAAATGAGATGAAAAAATTCGAATGGAGATTCTTCGCAGGTCGCATAATTTTACGACATCTCTGGATCGCATCGCGCGACATCTCAATCCAGCGCTCCCGCCGGTACGAATTGTCGTTTTGAAATTAGTCGATTTCCATATCTCGTGTTATTAGATGCACTGCAAAATACCACTAAATGCAACAGATTCGAGTTGTCCTATTATGAGCATCGCATGAGTTACGATAATCAGGGATTCGTCATTTCACAAACGAGGGAGCATATCTAAAGTCCAAGGTTGCAAAATTGATCGAAAGTGCCTTCAATATTTTGCGTATGCAATTAGGACAAGCGTAGAGCACGAATAATGGTATCCTGAAATACATGGTAATTTGACACGGCGCTGCGGCGTGAATGATCCACCATTTTTTTACAAGAATTTTACTATGAGGCATCCGTTCAAAATTTTGCTGATTTCTGCCGGCGATCTTTTTCTTTAATAGTCACTTTGTCTAAGAATTTCAAAAATCAGCCCCTTGTAGAGTTCTTGTAAACGGTGAGGACTTAGGGTCAGATTTAATTATTGAGAACCACAAAGTTACTTTGACTTTGTTAGAGCGATATGGTCGCTACAGTGCCTTCGACATTTCGTGTATGCAATCCGGACGATTGTCGAGCACGAATAGTTGCATCACGAGGTCTATATCAATTTAGGAAGGCGCCGAACCGGCCGCGTCGGACGTACAACAACGTAAAGGAAACCAAAGCGCCTTCAATATTTTGCGCAATTTCGCACATAAGGGCAAGTGCGATTGAAACCAGTGCGCCTTCAATATTTTGCGTATGCAATCAGGACAAGCGTAGAGCACGAATAGTGGTATTCTGAAATACATGGTAATTTGACACGGCGCTGGACGGCGCCAACGCTTGATTTCGCACTTAAGCGTGCGATTTCGTGATTTCGGAAACGTTTGAGTATTCACTCTGCAGGGTGTCTAGCATCAGGAGTTTCCCGATTTTCCCGATTCTATCAGGATTTGAGGTCAATCAGGATTTAATCCCGATTTT